ACAAAAATTCTAAAAACTATATTTTTGGCTTCGATATCGATTGTAGATCACACCTCAAGTATTCTTTTTACAAAATATTCAATGTACAGTTTTGACTTTCCTACGATTTCATTATATGTATAGATATTTGCTACCATTTCCCACTTCAGGCACATTAGGCATTAATCTGTCGGTGCCAAGTTCATGAATCATATTATATTTTCAGAAAATATTCATAAAGACCTTGAGTGGCTTAGAAAATCCAGGGAGCCTTGGAAAACAGTTGAAGAGAAAAGGAAAAATACATTCAAGATTAGACTTGAAGAGACTAAAAATATAACAGTATCTGACTACATGAATGAGCACCTTGTTTTAAAAAAGCCGACAGGGTATCAGCTACTTCTAATTGATTCTACGTTTTAATTAATAAAAGTGTTGATTCTTATTATTGATTGTTATTCTTTTATTGGCATTTTCTGCGGGAACTGTCGTGTATCGACGTGATTGCTTAAAGTTCAGAGCTTTTATTTCTCGGAAAACTTAATGAATCTTGAGAAATAAAAGCATATTTTAAGCAATCACGTCTTTACTGCCAGTTCCGGTGGAATAAGCCAACTACTTTTTCTGGTCCATTTACAAAATAAGAAGTTACCTACACAATACTCTATTGTTGTCATTACAAGTCATTTTGTAATGTGAACGTATCATTCTGTTCCATTTATAATACACTATTTGTCAGAGGTACACAACAAATCGTATCAGTAATTTTTTTGTAGTAAATTAAACGATGCCATTCAGTAAATTTAATTAAACGTTTATATGTTATTTACAAAACTTTTGATTAACAACATAAACTTTCTTGTTGGTAGGACAAAAAAGGATTGTAGACCTGAAAAATTAAATAGTAAAATTAACAATAACAATGTGACAACTACAATTCATGTTTAACTAGAATCATTGTGTAACGCTTACGATACGAGTGGTCGTCACATATAGAGCAATAAATATTGTAATGGTAACCAGAATATGGTTACACATACCAGAATAATTTTTCCGTGCAAAGAGTAATAATCAGAGGTTATGAGTTCCAAGTGTACACGGCTACTCCAGGTATATCACATGGTTCGCATTTGGGACCTAAATTATTCCTTCTTTTCATCAACGTCATCGTTTCCGGTTTTACATAGCCAGTGTTCGTTTTTTGCTGATTATATGAAGATGTTTAACTCTTCGATCAACAATACTAGATTGTCGGTTATCTTTCGTTCTTCCCTATAACACCATTGTATCAAGGGCAGCTAAAATATTAGGGTTTATTAGACACAACACTAAGACATTTAACCGAACAGACTGTAAAGTCCCATTATTCAAAACTTTAGTACGTAATTTTTTACACTATAAACATAAAATACTCATTGACCTATTATTTGACTTTAAAGTGAACAACCAATTTCAGTAATTATCTATACATAAATAAAAGATGTCCGGACTTACTGACTGACAGTCAACGGACAGCCTAAACCACTAGTCGTAGAAACTTATGTACCTTATTATGTACAGGTCTACTAAGAGCGAATTTTTGGAAATTCCTCCCCAAAAGGGGTAAAAATGAGTGAAAACGTTTGTATGAGATTTTTTTTGGATTTATATCAATGAAAATTCGTATTTTGGTAGTTTAAGACGATATGAAGGTCATAATTTATATTTTATCCCGAAAACTAGCACTTAAAGGAATGAAAATGGCAGTTAAAGTTTTTTTGGGGAATCAAAATATTATCATAGCAATCATTGTTTACGATTTGGTTTGTCATTGTAATAAATCTATATAAAATTATTTATAAAGATTCCCTAATATTTCGATAAAAGACTATATTTGAGTACATAATTGATAGATAACATAAATAATTATTTTTTTAAATATTCAAGATCGAATAATTTTATATACGAAAGAAAACACAAACTATAGTTTCTATGCTATACTAGATGATGTTTATTATACTTCCACATTGCACTGTTTTGGTGAAGGTTGAGTTTTCAAATTAAAATTTAGTAAAAACTTTAGCTTTGCTATACTGGTGAGTAGTGGTGACGTAAATAAGCGCCGCGGTCTGCGATCGTTGTTGTTAAGTGACTTTCGCAAGGGTCATGGGTCAAGGGGTCGTGGGTGACCAAAAAATATTATCACAGCTACTCCATGATTCGGCACGTTAAGCCGTTTTGGTTCCGGCTGCATCTGGAGTCATTAATGCCCTCCTTAATGTAAATTTCAGTTTACGGTTTCGATCACAACACTTGTGTGGACATTAGATTTGTGTTTTTCTTTCCACATGTATTTCAAATTTGATAAATAGCTTTAAAGTTTTCAGAGATAAAGTACTGTAACATACTGGACATTAGTCGGTTAATTAAATGTATAGCTGCAACTGTACTATACTTTTAAGTGTACGAAGGACGTTGTGATGGTTACTCAGCTGATCGACGTTTAGCCGTGCAAATGAATGGCGCTATTCTATTATAGGGATAGCCGCCTAATTGGACGGATTTGTTCCCAGTTGGCTACGACATATCCATTATATATTAACAGTTTCAACTTTTAAGGTCACTTTTAAGTCGACCAAGCAATCGTCATTAATATTGTTCTCAGTCTATTTATTTCGTCATCATATTTCGTAATATGATGATAAATGAGCGACAAGGCGAATCGTTTTTATTATTTCATACTAATATTATACACACCAAAGAAGTTCTGTGTATATGCCAGTTACGCTCAGTCACTAAACAGAGTTGATTTGATATAGGACATAGATTGCTATTATTGTGGTAAATATATTGTACGGAAGTTCTTCATTGTCAAAGATCAATTCATGAAACTCTATTTCAGGTTTTTTATACGATATAATAAATAAATATTCGTTTTAGAAATCCGCGGAAGAAGTCGCGGGCATAAGCTAGTAACATATAAACTGATTATTTGGCATCTGATATTTAATAATTGACCTTTATATAAAATTTTCTAATTGTAATGTAAACGCATATGGATTATTTTAATTGTAACAATGCTGTGCACGTCTATTGGTCAGTTTTATAAACGTCCATTAAGGTTTAATGGCGCCTTCAAGCTCTAATGAATGTAAAATTTGAATCGTTAATGTCGCTTTACGCTAACGAGAATTTTGCTTTACGTTTGTGCGTCTGCTTGTGTGTCATTAATACTAGTTAAGTGTCATCTAAAAAATTATAAATTCTTTTGTATTTATGATGTCGACGTGTCTTGAGTAAATAAATAAACTTCTAAGCTCAAACCGCGTGGCGTTCGTCGTCGAGTTCAAGGCTGTATTTATACATATATTAGATTTCCGCCAATGGCTTAGTCCGCGTTATTTACACGATGATTTGACAGTACCTATATTTATAATAATATTACCTATATTATTACTATATACTATCGTTTGTATAAAAAGTAGTCTTATGTTAATAGGTTAGAATAAGTAACAAATTAGCGTGAAAGAGTATTAAACATAACGTACATAATCTTTAGTATTCACTCATTTTAGTAGGAATAGCACTGCATACAAACTTTGTCGAGAAGTGGACGATTTCCAGCTGATATGATGATGGTAATGGTGATAGATAACACAAGCTTTAATATGCTGACCGTTAATATTAAAATTATTTGCAGGACCATTTATAGTAATTAGATTTCTATAATTACTTAAATACCAACAATAATTGAGTACGATATTTTTGACACTCGTACAATTCATAAATTGATTATCATGTTAAATATTTTGATAATCTCTTTATTATAAGCTTACCTACTTATCGGTTATTATTTTTGTACGCGTATTACCTTGTTTAATGATATCCAATTCACTTATTCTATAACAATTTTAATGTTAACTCGACAACGACATTATAATATAAATGTTCTAACAAAAAGAAACGTATCAACAACTCCAAGGCCGTAATAGTTTGAGCGTGACTTTGACATAAATTTTGTTGACAAACAAGTTTTTTTTACAAATTAAAACATAATAGGGGTATCACTAGAGGTTTCCTCGTCCGTGATAATACTGAGCCACGGTCGTGAACCAGCTACGGATGTGTTTATGCAATTGACGTCTGTGGTATGGTTAACAGCGTGGAAACGAAGGCTGCCACGTTTCTTGTCATTGTCATGATTTTAGTTAAAAATTTGACCTTTCATTGGGAAAGATATTTATCCTTTTGAAATACCTGCACAGTACCATATACGAACTCATTGTTAGCTCTAAACTCATTATGATGAAACTGTAGTATCATTAATTATTCGGATACAATTTTATGAGATGAAAGTAAAATTAATCCGGATTGTGAACTAGGGTTTTTGAATTTTATGAGGTAGGAAGAGGCAGTAAGTAATAAGTATATCAATAGATACCATATACCATCAGTAAACTTTTTTGAAATATTTCAAGTAAAAAGGGATGATGACAAATTTTTGTTTGTTTGTCTGTCAGGTAGATTGTTAAAAAATATTTAACACGTATTTTTTATTTTTTTCGTAATCATAAAATTACGGCGTTACATTGAGTTGAAATTTCGTATGACGTCACGTTAGAGTACGTTTTCTACTCAACTGTGACGTAGCGAGCCCCCACTCCTCAACTTTAATGCCTGTTATCAAAGCTATTTCTTGTTAAATTGAAGTAAAAAAAAATACGTATCTAAAATTTTTCTATTATCTGACTGACGGACTAAATAGAATTGCATTATTTTTACCCAGTCGTCATCCCTATTGTGACTTTTCGATGCGTTCGATTTTTTCGTATGTATCTCGTAACTAGCTGTGCATCAAACGAAGTGAAACCAACACCTTTCATACAGTTTTTCGTAATTAAGAGCATCTAAAATTCAAACATAGTTTTATGAAATTCAATTAATTTTTCACTTGGGGGCTCAAACTTTTGAGAGCAAAACGCAAAATGCAAATCTGTGCTGCAGGTAATAATTGGAGTAATTTTTTTTTATTTCAATTTCAGAACAACGAATTGGAAGTGTTACCGATAGATTATCAAACGGTCCACACCGGGTGTCCGGCGAGTGACCTCATATATTTCGTGGTGACTGCTACTGACGAGGAATTCAGAAGAGAGCACTACCAGCGGCTGGTGGATCATTACCATCAGACGCTCGGGCACGCGCTACGCCTTTACAAACTGGACGTCGAACAGATCTACCCTAGGACCAAGTTCGACGACGATTTGAAAGAGGTACTAACTGTATTTCGAAAGAAGAAGTATTTATGTTTCATAAAATTTCAATCGATAATGATACACTGGACCGCAAAGAAAACGGGTCGGTTAGAAAATCGTCAATATCTTGAAAACTACTTAACTTATTTTTATGAAATAAAAACTAAATTAAAGATTATTTAATTGTAATTTATTGAATATAAAAAAATACAAATTAAAAGTTGTCTATTTTCAATAAATGTCAAACGAATAAAAAAGGTAGTTTTTCTGACATTTTCGTAAATATGAATTGTATAAAGATGTGACGTTTTTACGCATGTTAGTATTTCGTGTTGCCTCCACGAGCTTGCAAAACTGCGGCTATGCGATTCGGCATACCTTCCACAAGGTTTTTAAGGCGATGCTGCGGAATGTTCTGCCATTCCTCGATCAAAGCTCCTTTCAATTCACGCAGCGTGATTGGCGGCGGATTCCGTTGACGTACACGTCGTTCCAGTTCGTCCCATGCATGTTCGATGGGGTTTAAGTCGGGGCTTCGTGCTGGCCACTCCATGCATGTGATACCTACTTCGTGAAAATAGTCGAACACTATCTGAGCTGTATGCGGGCGGGCGTTGTCTTGCATAAAAACAGCATTTTCGCCCATATCTACTAAAAATGGACCAACATAGTCATTAAGAATTTCATTCACATATCGTTCTGCTGTTAAACTGCCATTTTCTATCACTACTAGCTCAGTACGGCTTTCGGAAGAAATCCCAGCCCACACGTGTATAGAGCCACCGCCATATGGTACTTTTTCTTCTATACAAGCTTGGTTATAGCGCTCTCCCGGTCTTCGGTACACTCTTTTCCTCCCATCGTGCTTGTATAAACAGAATCTAGACTCGTCTGAAAACATAACTCTTGACCAGTCATCCAGAGTTCAAGTTTCGTGTTCTCTGCTATAACTCAGCCTTGAGTTTAAGTGGTGTCTTTCTAATTTTGGGCCATTTGCAGGCCTTAATGGTCTCAAATTTGCTTCAGCCAGACGTCGCCTTACTGTATCTGTACTCATATAGTTTCCTCCAGCTCGTAAATGGTGATTTTTTACCTCAACGGCCGTAAGAAATCGATTTCTCAAAATTGTTGACACCATATAGCGATCCTCCCGCGCAGTCGTGCACCTCGTTCGGCCTGTTCCTGGTCTTCTTAGGTTGGATCCAGTTTCATGGAAACGCTGGAGTACCCGCTGAACTGTGGAAAGACTCACACCAACAGTTCTCGCTGTATTGCGCTGACTGCGCCCATCTTCAAGCATTGTCAGGATCCTGGTGCATACTTCAGGGGTTAACGACATGATGACTTCAGAATACAATTTTTGTATGACAAACACACGATATTTATTGTAGTTTTTATGTCAAAACTAAAACAAATGCGAAACAAATGCTTTGATTTTTTTAGAACTAAATTGAAAAACAACCATTATCTTCATTGCCAGTTTTCTTACACAATTATCTAAAGTAAATAAAAAGGTTTTATATACTATGTTAAATAACATTAAATATTCTTTAATTGAGTTTTTATTTCATAAAGCTAGGTGAGGTAGTTTTCAAGTTATTAAAGATTTTCTAACCGACCCGTTTTCTTTGCGGTCCAGTGTATGTGTTTATCTCGTAGAAAAATCCAAAAATAGTCTGAAATAACTTTACTAGTAGCTATTGATTAAATGGTAGAGCAGTCGTTCATCTTTTATAATACACTGTACACAGTATATATAGTATACTACAGCTTACTTACAATGACAATTGTTTAAATATAATATTTGAAATAATTATTTAAAAAAAGTGAAGTTTCAAATAAGTTGTTTTGATAGTACCTAAAAATTAAACAATTTGTTACTTATCTCCAGATAAGATATTTTAATATAGAAGGAAATTAATATTTTCCTTCTATAAAAATGATTTTCATAAAAAAAAATATGTAGCAATAAACGAATACACAAGGTGGTAAAATTACTCATTATACTTATAGGGTAGTTTTACTCCCGAGCTGAGGTAAATAGAAACCGAGAAGAAATATGTAGTCAATAAGTCGAGTCCATATTCATGATAAATACGATTAAAGTCTTTCTGTAGGCATATTGGTCACAGATATAAAATAAAACTGAAACCTTGAGAGAGAAATGCTATTTATCTCAGTTTTGATACGCGTAAAGTTATTCTCATACATCCAAATAGTCACTCCATTGTTGGTTATTTTGTTTTAAGTTGATGTCCTCGGCACTGATGCTGGGCATGATGGTCCTGCCTGTGGTGCTAGTGGATGCAGAGTGTGCACCGCGCATGGAGACTGCCACCGGCATCGACAGCTTCCTCATCAAGCCCACACAGTTCTTCGCCGAGCGGCTCGCCGGAATCGTCAGGGATCTGGTGCGGTGGGATGTCATATAGACTTGGAAGCTGTTGATTACCTCTGCCAGTAATAGAGGATACGCCCCTGATTGAAATTTTAAGGTCTTTCAATTGAATAAGAAACGTGGTCGTAATAATAATAATAAAGAGAGTGAAAGTTTTTTTTAAATTAAATATGAGATTTATTTAATGTTTACTTTAAAACTAATGTGGGGTTGAAGTGGGTCGTCCTCTGTCTCTGTCGCACCGTACGACAGAGTCAGAAGATGACCCACTCCACCTATTGTGGTTTATTATCTTATGACGTTATAACGATATGTTTCCATCCATTTACAATCGATATTTAAATTATTACTTTCTCAGTAAACTAATAAAATATTTTATTTAATCATGCACTTTTTGTTTTCTTTTGAACTATTTGTATATGAGAAAAAATAAGTTTAGTATTTAAATCCCTAGTTATTTTTTTTTGTGTTGTCTAGGTTCAAGCTCATGGTGAGTGTAATGGTAGAGTTAGCGAGCGTCATTAAATTCGAATAACAATCAAAAGATAAAAATGTTTTCTTAATATTAAGGGCAAACAGTAAAGAGATTAGTCTAATCACAATGACCTGAATAGTTTCATTTTTGGTGTTTGGTGTTAATGACGCAATTGAGTCATCTGTAACGGGGTCACAATGGGGTCATCGATCTAACCGTGGTACGCTCTAAGATAGTGCTTTGTGTTAATATAAAAATAATTTCTGCCACTTATAGCCCAAAATAGCTATAATTTTGTCAAAGTGAAATACTTTTTGAAGCAATCTTTATTTTATTGAAATATTTATTGATCTTTGACTAAATTAATCAAGAATGTAACAAAAACAACGATCAGAGGCTTCTCTGATGAAACTGTTCAGTTATAAAAGACACCGTCGAACACAGCGCTGTCGCAGCTTTATAGAAGTTTAATCGAATAAACCATTATCATTTTTTAAGTGGGTATTTTTAAGGTGGAAAGAGGTATTTGATTGAAATCATGCTGTGACACAGCTGTGTTTAAAACTGCGCTCGTCCTCGTATTTTTGGCAGAATAAAATATCAAATTAGGGTTTTCAAATATTATATTTTTCCATGACATATTTTTAGAGAGTTCCAGGGTTACCAAAATAATTTAGAAGTAATGATGTTCTGGGTTTTTAAGGCATCTTGTCATCAATCTCTTTAATTCTCAGCTCAATACTTACATTTATAAATATCCATATTAATTTAATGTGACATGTTTTAAACTCATAGCTTGAATATATATTGTAAGATGGCCGAGGTAACAATCCTTACCTACATCTCTTTGGAAAGAGTGAGGTGGATAAAATGAAAAAAATATTTCATACATACTTAGTGGTAACTAATCCAATTTATGAGTATTTTCAAAGAGTATTAAAACCTATAGTGCATTAATATCTCACCATTATTATTACGATTATAGAAATACATGGACATAATAATGAAATATGACAACAAAATAATAATATACTCAATACCTTCTGTATAAATAATGTTCAATAGAGATTTGTTAGCTACCTAGTCTAGCCATAAGATCTATTAAACGTGATTTTTGGAATAATATATATACAAAGAAAATATCCGATAATTTCTAAAAAAAAAAAATATTTTAAAGTTTTATATGTTATTATTTGAAAAAGATACGTTGACGTACTAAATTGGTTATACAAAGTGTCCCTTAGATTTAACGCACGCTTTTAAACGGTTGGGTCATTCGTCGAAGGATTTACGAACGGTTTCTATTAGAAACTTGATCACTGCTGCCTTCAAAGATTTCTTGAGCGATTCAATTTTTGGGTCACGCTTAGAGTGTAGGCCATGTCCTCTAGCACGGACCACAATTTATAGTCCAAAGGGTTTAAGTCCGGACTAGCCGAAGGCTTATCATCAGCCTTTATGAAGTCTGGAACATTTCACTCAAACCAATTTTGGGTAGTATGCGCCTTACTTACTTGGGGCTGAAAACTATTGGAATGTCCACACTTTGTTTTTGAATAAGGCGTTGTTGAGAGGTTTAACTACCGCTTCTAACACGGTATCTTAATACACTTTGCCTAGAATTTTCACTCCTTTTTCGCAAAAATGGAGTTTTGTAACCTCTTGGTAGGAGCCACCCCACCAAACGATTACGTATGTTGGATGATAGCCTCGGTGAAATTTGGCAACTACCTCTGAAGCTTCTTTAGAGCTGTTTGCATACACTCGATTATTTTGTTTGTCGTAGTGCTCTTCGATTGTAAATTTTTTTCATCGGTAAATAATTTTTTTCTGTGTTTTTCGTTCGCGTATCGAAGTAACAGCTGTTTTGATCTTTCGACTCTCTTTTGTTTTAATGCCTGATTTAAGGTATATCCTGTGTATCTTTGACAAGCCCTTAGACCTAAGTCTTGTTTGATAATCCGAGAAATTGATCTCGGTGGGGATGGGATTCTCATTTATCTGGAAAGGATTTTCTGCTTCCTTCAGTGTACCTTTGGATGGTACGATACAAAACCATTCGGCTAATCCCTAGCTTTTTCAATGTATCACAAAATGTCGGTTGGCTCTTTAGCTACTTTTGTACAGTGCAATTACTGCAATCCTATTCTTTTTAGTGTCCCACTCCATTTTCAAAACAAATAATTTCTTAACAAAAAACATACACTAATGGCAGGAAATAAGTCTATTATTTATCGTAGAAGCTAATGTTCGAAATTCAAATTAATGTTTTTTTAAATGTATGTAAACACCCAGTAACATAATTTATGGTTAGACTAGGTATTTATAGTTACATATAAATAAAAAATGAACGCTAGATTGTCTAAATTTTAGCTCTAAAATATGTACATTACAGTAATTTACATACGTCAAAAAGGTGAACATGTACACAGCTCTAAGGCAACATTACTTTGGTAATGTTACAATGTCTGAAGTTTAAACCTTTGTATTACTAGAAGTGCAAAGGTCACATTTATGGGTACCTACCACTTTTTTACGTAAACAATGCTTAAACTAAATGTACATGAAAATCGACGCTGTACTATGCTGCAGCTCTATTTCGAGCCGGGACCTTTTCAGCACTGCACCGACTACGAATATTATTAGAATTCATAGTTTTCTTTTTATATTTATATTTACTGTACATATTAACATAGCGTACTCTTCTTATTTTAGACTAATTTGTCAAAAGTTGTACGTGTTCAATAAGCATTCATTCATTTTACGTTTACGGTATTCTGTTCTATATCTATGTTTTGAGCAAAGGAAATATACATTTAAACGATAATATTTACAAATATTTCTTTTAAATAAGTACAATGTCGTTTGTTGGGAACTCATTTATTCTTTCTTTTATTATTTAAATATAATACAACCATAGATTAGATATGTGGCCTGCTACGTCGGTGACATGGTCGCCCCCGGTGTGACAACACAATAATTTAGGGTCATCGACGTAACAAACCACACTACATATGTAAATAAATATTAATATAAAATATTATTAAGATGGTAGCACAACTAGTTTGCGGACAGGACGACGCAGAATTCCAGCCTTAGTGGCCACTTCTACTACTCGGACTACGCCGTCCTTGCCCGGAAACGTTCGGGTAACCCGCCCCCGTGGCCAGACTCCACGTGGGAGGTTACCGTCTACTATTAGTACATTATCTTTGACCTCAATATTCCTGGCGGAAGCGGAGATGCTGCGAGGTATTAATGCCGGAAGATATTCACGAGTCCAACGTGACCAAAAATGATCCGCCAAGCGCAATCCTCGTTTCCATTTTACACGGCGAATCATGTCAGCGTCGTCCACCTGAGCTAACGCTGAGTAAGGTGAAGAAGAGCCGAGTAAAAAATGAAAAGGTGTAATAGACTCTTCATCATCAGGGTCGACACTAACATGGGTAAGAGGACGCGAGTTAACTAAGCTCTCCGCTTCCAACAGGAAGGTATTGAGGACTTCCTCCGAAGGAGAGTGTTGCGTCAGGGTTACCGAGAGAGCGGTCTTGATGCTTCGTACCAAGCGCTCCCAGCATCCTCCCATGAAAGGAGCCGAGGGGGGAATGAACTTCCATTTGATTTTTAAGTTGGTGGCGAATTCGAGAACTGGCTTTGCGAACAGGATCTCCAACTCCCTGCTTGCTCCAACGAAGGCCGTGCCGTTGTCGCTAAAAAGTGAGGCCGGTGTTCCTCGTCGCGCAATAAATCTCCTTAGTGCCATTATTGCGGCATCGGCACTTAGGTTTCCAACTACTTCTAAGTGGACGGCACGTATAGTCAGACAGGTAAATAGGGCAACATATCTTTTTTCTGTGTGCCGTCCCACCGTGACTGTGATAGGGCCAAAGTAGTCGAGGCCCACATAAGTAAACGGCCGCATATGGTGCGCAAGTCTCTCTGGGGGAAGATCTCCGACAGGGGGAATTGATACTGTGGCCCTACGGATGCGGCAATATAGACATGAAGAAGCCACACTTTTCACTGCTGGTCTCAAGCCGATGATATAGTATCGCTGCCGTAGTTCATTAACAACCAGCTCGTTACTTGAATGGGCTGCGCGTTCGTGGTAGTATGCGATTAACAGTCTGATAATTCGGTCCTTCCCGTCAAGCACGATAGGGTTCTTGGACAACATAGGCACGTCCTTCACTGCTGCAATCCGACCAGACAGACAAAGAAGTTTGCTCTCGTCGTCCACCATCAAAGTTAATCTACTTAGGCGGCCATGTCTGGCTGGGGGCTCGCCCCGATGGGTTAAATTGTAATCCTCTCGTAAGGTCGATAGTTGGGATTGAAGTAAAAGGAATTCTTCTGCTCGGCTTATGTCTTCTGCGGTAGGTTCTCGGCGCCCTGACGCATAATTTAGTAATTTAGAAGTAGGGTCTAAAAGCGCCGCCTTGAAAATTCTGGCGCAAACAAAAACACGAGCAGTAGCTCTAAGCAAACGGATCCATCGGCTGAATCGAGTGGTGTCTGGGACCACTGGGTAAGGTAATTCGCGTGCAGTTGTTACAGTTATTACTTCCACAGGAGGTCGTTTCATTTCCTCGAGAACTAGTGGAATCTCGTTAAATGACTCGGTTGGCCACTCGTACTCGGGACAAGCAAGAAAAGAAGGGCCAGAAAACCATCGAGATGAAATTTCGAATTTTGACGTGACTCTGGTAGCGTCGTCCGCCACGTTCAGTGCCGTTGGCACGTGCCGCCAATTAGATATGTTGGTAATCTCAGCGATCTCACCAATGCGATGCGCAACGAACGGCTTGAACGTGCGGGCGTCGCTACGCAACCACCTCAAAACGGTGAGGCTATCGGACCATAAGGTCACTCTTGAAATCGTGTAAAGCCGGTGAGCCTCTATAATGTATGCCGCGAAACGTGCTGCGATAAGAGCAGCTTGGAGTTCAAGTCTCGGAATTGACTGCGGTTTCAGAGGCGCAAGCCGAGCCTTACCACCTATGAGGCTGAGCCTCACGCTTCCGTCAGTGCACTCGAAACGCCAATAGGCTACGCAGGCATATGCGAGCTCACTTGCGTCAGCG